TTCTATAGACGACATTACGACGATCCAAACACCGGGCGCATTATGACGCCATTATGACTATACGGCAATACGGCACATGCACACACAGACACGCAGTCGCGCGATATGCTCGACATTTTCCTTTTCTAAATCTGAACGCAGACATGGTCGATTTACGCTGTCATGTCCACTACAAGGAGATCATTACATCTCATCTGCTACGCCGTCCATTGGATGATGGGCTGACACATACAGCCGTGTATATCTATTCGGCCTATTGCCTCGATTCGAGCATGTATCATAATACTTTATACCATATATCGTACGACGCAAAGTGGGACGACCGCATACAAATTTCAGCCAAGCCTTAACCTAGCGATGGACCTCGCGTGGGTGGTTGTTAGAGGCGGAAGGGACAAGATTTATAATGGTGATGCGGTGGAAGGAAGAACATCTATTCTGCAATGTGTAAACTCGACAACCTGACCATAGGCCTGACACACCAACCATGCTCTTCATAGCGTCTTGTCTGCACTGCTCCTAACCGGGTGTCATAATAAGAAATCAATCAAGTGGCAAGCGTGTATACTATGCTTTGTGGTGCCTGGATTGCAGTCGGTGACGAGCCTCCACCTCAGCTCTGATCTCTTGGACTGCCTCATCCAACTCCCTTTCTGGATCCGCCGCCACACCGAGGACTGGTTCGCGCCCAACAAGGCTATCGGAGCTCAACGTACGGCCAAGCTGGATGCCTGGCCGCCGCTGGCGACTTTCTAACCCTTGCTTCAAGATCTGCTTTCCCGGAGATGCGAAGAAGCCCATCGAGACAGCCACGCCCACGATGGCAAAGAAATAGACTCGCGACCAGACCAAGACGGATCCGGAGAAGCTAAGAATGAGGAAAGGAGCAACGGCAAATGACATCACCACCTGCGTAGTGAGAAAAGACAGAACGTCGTAATACTTCTTTCTGCGGTTCGGCAGCCCGGAGTCTGGGTCGAGGAAGAAAGGGCGGACGTAGCGGCGAAAGTCTCATTCGTTAGCGGGTTGGTTGGTCTATGGGGGAATATCTTGATCTGGACTTACTTTTGGCCACGGTTTGGATGAGGCTTGCCAGAATGAATGTCATATAATAGCCGGGATAGAAGCCGTGCCAAAGCGCACTGGTGCCAAATGTCATGAGGCTAGCTCGGAATCCGGGCTTCTTCCCTCGGGGTGTAACACGGAGGTATACATAGTTCCGGAGCCACTTGTTGGTATTCATATTCCAGCTGCCGAGGTAGCCGCGTACATTCTGGGCCAACTCGACGCCTCTCGGGTCAATGTTCTGTAGCCTGTTCCACGAGACTTTGCCGGTGATGGGGTCGACACCATTGTATCCGAGCCCAGTGAGGATGCATGCTCCTTCAGCCAGGGACCATGCTCCGTAGTACTTCATCCTTGCGGTCAACCCGACGCAATATAAGATCCACACGCGGCGGATGAAACCATGCTCAAGCAAGGCCGGGTGAGTTAGCCTTGAAGGGCTGAAGGAACCGGACATGAATACGAAGAAAGCAATCCACATGAGACCAGAAGCTGCTTTCCACGCCGCTGGGGTTCCACTGCGAGGAACTTTGCGTTGCCTTCTCACCGGCGGCTTTTTCGAAGCTTCTAGATTGGGCGGTAGATCAAACATGGAAGTGTCCAGCCACCGGCGATACTCGACGTATTCGAACGTAGGACCACCGAAGAGTGAAGGGAAAAACATAACATAACCGGCGTATTCCAGCAGGGGTGGAAGCTCTACTAGCTTCCTATCCTTCTGAAGATCGGACAAGTGGTCGCTGGGAAGCTGGCCATCTGCTACATTCCAGCAGAACGCGCTGAGCTTCATGACCAGTACCATCTGCGCACCAGTGATGTCGACGTCGGCCGGATTGGCGTCTAGCTGTCGAATGATCTGATTGATGGATAAGTGTCCCATTACGAAGACGAAGCCGATCCATGGCATGAAAGGACTGTGGCGAAACGTTTTTGCAATGAGATATGTCCCAGCGGAACTAATGAAAAGAGTTTGTAAACCAGCCCAGAGATTAAAGAGGCCAACAAGATAGAATATCGACGCGCTGGCGAGGGATGTCAGAGAACGATGCTGTGCAAGGGCTAGCGGGAACGTACCTTATCACGTAAATATTCTTGAGGTCAGGTCGAGAATCAGGAATGCACTTGAGAAGAGCAGCCAGTGGATACGAGAGTAGCCATGAGAACACGAGCTTGACTGGTGGTAACGCATGGTCAGAGCTGTGTTTAGGGTCAGGGTGGCAGTGTACGAGGCCATCTTACTGTCGTCTGTAGGCACGCCAAGTCCTGGGGACAGGAACTCGAAGGCTGGAAGGCAACACGTCAGCAATCTTTGCAAGGTTGGTCGGGACTTGCTCATGTTACGCTTGTTTATTAGGGGCAGCATCTTGGGCAACTGCTGGGCTCTTTGAGCTGAGGGAGGGTGCTTAGAATGAACTTGCAAAGCTGGCGTATTCCGTGGATCCTAAGCACGAGTGTTATCACAGAGGGAATGTAGAGTCGGGCTCATCCATATCCTTAGGCATGGTCTAGACAGTGTCTGTTGCGACTGGTGGGCTTGCAGGAGGATGATCAGGTTAATTTTAACGTCTATTTGGGGTCAAGACCCAGGCTTGTCATATGACGTAAGGCCTGGCACGTGTCGCACATATTGCCCCACGCTATCCAAAACGTGTGATAACTACAGGTAGCTATCGACAGAAGGTACCTAGCAATCGTAAGAGAAAACCAACCGGTATAAGTCTCCGTGAAGGTTATTTCTAACAGCCAATTGACGATCCTACTCTCACGCGCAGCCTCGACTTTTGGCAAGAAAGGACCCATTCGTGTGCTTAATACAAACATTCATTGTTGCCGACGCCATCAACAAGTGCCATGAAAGCTCGAGATACGAGATGCAAAGACTACTATTCTTAATCACAAAACCTAATGGTGGACGATGCTATCCGATGACACTTAGCTTCTTCTGTGCATTGGTCTATTCGGCCTCGCCAGGATGCCCCCCGAAAGGTTGTAACGAAGTTGTGCCGAAAGCAAACCAGCAATGCAACTTTCGTCAGCGAAAAGGTTGCGATGCAGAGTTTGATACCAACTCATGAGTTTGCGGCATCGTTGTTGCTCCTGGAACTGGCACTCATCGGCTGCGTGGTAGGTAGCGACATCTTCGATGTTGCCGTCTGCCGAACTCTCGCCCACGCGTACACAATACCACTGACAAAGCCAAGGAAAATGGCCGTTACGCTGCCAAATGTGACTGGGGCGGCAAAGAAGACCAGGCCACTAACGGCGATTGGTAGCTTGTTGAGCGCTCCCACCATTGAATATGTCGTGGATGACGTTACTCTGATACACCAAGCAGAACAGTACGAGATGAAGATGGCGCATAATCCCGAGTAGATCATGCCAACGAAGAGGCCGTTACGTGTCGCGGGCGGGAAGTTCTTCGTGAGATTTTCCGACGACCAGTCTTCTAGAAGTAGGGAGCAGACAATGAGCACCGGGATCGTAAGAAGATTGTTGTAGAACATGGCTGTTTTTGCATCTGTCAGAACAGCAAACCAATAATAATGCTCGAGTTCAAAACTTACTGTCCCAGTCTTTGAAGTTCATCTTCTTGATGACTTTGCGCATTCCCAAAACATAGGCAGCAGTACAAAACACATTGAACCCCATCCAAGCATACCCTGCGTTAAGAGTCGACATGGCAGCAGACGCATCATGCTCCCCTACTGATCCGTAGATAGCGTGCTGTATGTCAGCCCAGGCTGCCACAACGGAGCTTAGCACCATCAAGCCAAAAGAAAGAAGGGCTAGCGGCGTCACACTGCCACCAAACCACAGAACCTCTCCATACGCAATCACGATGATTGTGAGGTTCTTGAAGATGGTATAAACAGGGACGGAGAGGAATTGAAGTGCCTTTGTGCTGGTATATATCATGCCAACGAGCAGCAACGATATGGGAAACCCTTTCCAGGTTATCAGCTCTGGTCAATCGCGACTGCAGACAGCGCGCCCACCCAAGACTTCAACTTACATTTCTTAGCCTTTTCCTGGTCGAAGGGAGCCAGGACCCGGATCATTCCCACGTTCTTGCAAATCTGTATCGTGGTGACGCAAACGATGGCTTGGACGGCCAAGTAAAAGAAGTTGAGGTTCCAAAACTTGCCCGAGACAACAAACTTGTTGACTACGGTCATACTAATGGATGAAAAGCAGTACGCCAGGATCGAGGCGCCTGGGCTGTTGTCGACCTTGTTGATCTGCGCTACCAGTGACTGTTGCTGCGGTCGCCGCGATGGAGATCTCGACAAAAATCCATCTCTTTCGGGGCCTCCAGGACTGCGGCTTCCAGCCCGCGAGCCCATGGGCCGCAACTCAAAGTCTTCGTTCTTCTTGTCCATGTTGGCCAAGGGACGTCGGGAAGGCGATCAGAATATTGATTCGGCAGCGCAATCGTCTAAGATTGAACACCACACCACACTTAGTGAGCGTCCGATGCGTCGGGTTTCAAGGCGTCGTCAATGTGCTTTCGTTTGATGCGGTTCCGGCATGTTTGGGTGACCCCCTAATTAATGCATTGAAGCGGATTGCGCCCGTTAATAAATTCAGACGCGGATTTGTTCGGACACGCGTCCTGCCAAAGGGAGGGCCGCCCGCCTATCGATATCCCTGGAGTGGATCTTCGAGCCATCATGTGTTTATGTAATCACATTACAGGGCAACGCGTTTCTTGCATGGTATCGTTTGTCGTGTTCGCATGACACAGCACGCCGAGATTTGTTTGCGTCGACCTGTATGCCTACGTTGTCTTCAATAAAGAACCAGCATCAGCACTAGGTTTGGAGCCGCCGATACAGTCATCATGATACAGTCCCAGATATGGGTTGTTGTCCTGAGAGAACTCCTTTCTTGGTGTGCCAGATCCCACTTCGTGTACACTATGTACTAACTAAGTCTTATGTCTCTGCCACTTCCGTGCCCATGCCTAGTACGGGGTGCCCGTCTCTTGTCTCAGCCTCACCCTCAAATGGCTCAGGGACAATGGAGAAGTTGAGATGCTTCCAGTCTTCCAGCTCCTCCGTAACTGAGCGAAGTCGGTCTCTGATACTCTCTATAGCATAGCTCCCCAGCAACAGCCGAAGTGGGGGGTAAGAGCAATGAGCCAGCTGCCAAACGAGCTCGGCGCACTTTACAGCACTGGTAGGTTGCTTATCCCCCAGCCATTGAAACATCCTCTTTGCGTGCAGGGCCGGCGAGTTTGCAGACATGTAGGGTTCGCTAGCTGCTTTGATGCGGAAATGACCCCAGGTAGGCAGAGGATTCACCGTAGAGTCGGGTTCGTCCCGTCGGACCAAGCCAGGCTCGACTAATGTTGCCTTGACATTGATCGAGTCGGTTTCGTACAGCATGGCCTCGACCAAGCCCTCAACAGCGTACTTCGTTGCGCAGTACGGACCGAGTCCTGGCACGCCTAACGCCCCAGACGTTGAGCTGAAGATTAAGTAGCGCCCTCCCTGCTGCTTTCGAAAGTATGGTAGACTTGCCTGGATGATGTTGAGCGTGCCCATGAGGTTAGTCTCAAACTGATTGCGAAGGTCGTGCTCATCTTGATCCTCGCAGGCACCGATAACACCGTAGCCCGAGCAATTGGCGATCACGTCAACTCGACCAAAGCGATCTAGAACCATCTTGACTGCACGTCCCACAGAATCTGCTGACCTCACATCGCATAAAGTCCCCAGAAAGTTGTCGCCGTCTGCTGCCTCGCTCATGGCCTCGACATTCGTTTCGAAAAGCCTCCCCACCGAGGCTACAAGATCTCCGCGGGACAGAGCACATTTGACAAGGGATCGGCCCATGTGGCCAGTCCCCCCAAATACCTAAGGGCAAGAAGCATGTCAGTGTTCCGAGAGTTAGGGAGAACGGGTAGCTAGTCTGCTAAACTTGAGGAAGAGGGTAGGTGAACGCACAGCCCAGACAAGTTGTCTTCCGGGCCGATCTAACGGCGGGGGGTCGCAGCTTGCTGGTAGGTTGAGCCTAGTAGCACAAGAACCATCGCCAACTGGAGTCGTGCTGTAATCCTTCGCCCTGGGACGATCGGGAGAGGCATCAGCACGCATAATCAGGTAAGTGTATATTTGAAGCCTAGTAGATGTGGTTGGGTCTTCAGAGCATCCGAATGGTGCGCATGGCGGGCAAGTTAATAATGGGCAGCAAAGTGGCATGCGGGAGCTCGTTCCAGTTTTGGGAAAGCTGTCAACGTGAGGGTGTCACTCTCCAGCAGCAACAAGGCTGCTGCGCTTTGTAGCATAACACACCACCATCATTGCATATATATTTATGCTGCTTTGCTTAACCAACACTGACAGCAGTCAACCCACCCCAATATTCTCTAGCTGAGCGTCGTAGTTCTATCCATTTAAATCGGGATGACCCGTGTCAGTCCAGACGTTACCGACAAGCCCGCAAACATCTGTTTCTTGCTGCCTCCTGTCCCCCCCCCTCCCCCCCCCCCCCCCCAAACCGCAGTATCAGGCATACGTGTTCGGCATACGAGCCACCTGGGCAGCTCAGTCGCCACATCAGATTACAATTGTACATCTTGAAAGGGGATGCACCGGTTCACTTCTCACCCATCTTCCCCGCTCCTTTAAGGTCAGCTGGTTTCTGCAGGAACAAGGACATCACGTCCGAACACGTCAACCACGAGGTCGAACATACAACTTTGTAAAACGGAGTCATTCAGCAAAACACTGTTGACACTGCGTGCCTGCGTACATAGGCGGAGCAAGAAACTGCAAGCGAAGGACGGGCCTACTGCGTCCCTGCCTGAAGTCGACTCTCGAAATAGCACGGGTCCATCAAAGGCCAGCCAGACAGTTGGACCCCTGGACACTGGCCCGCCTTCCCCCCAACTTTAAGGGTGATAGTACTCCACCGTCAGCGTTTCATCCACCTCACCAACAAAACCCCAACACCAGCGATTTCTCCCCTGGCCATCTCCATCATTGGCATCTCCTCCAGTTCTGTCCTTCGGATCGCCCAATATGTCTGGCAGCCACGCCGTTGGAAACCGGAACAGCACTCCTGAAGCCAACACCGCATCCTCTCTTCGACCTCCATCCTCCCGAACGGTAGGGACCGGCCATCACTTACGAGCCTCTGCCGACATGGCTGCTCTCTCCGGATCTTCTTCGTCAAACCGGATTCGCCCCTCGTCCGATTTCTACGGGCAGTCCCAACAGGGGCAAGGACAGAACAACCAAGAAGGGGACGCTCAGGACAAGATTGCCCAGCAGTGGATCGCTGACATCGATCAATATGAGACAACGCTCGAGGACATGGCCGCAGCTACGCTCGACCAGGACTTCAAGGATGAATTGAGCGCCATCGAACAATGGTTTCGCGTTTTAAGCGAAGCTGAACGAACTGCTGCACTCTATGCCCTACTACAGCAAACGACGCAGGTCCAAATCCGATTCTTCATACAGGTGTTGCAACAGATGGGCAAGAGCCATCCTATGTCGGGGGTCCTGTCTCCAGCCAACTTTGACAAAGGTGAGCCTGCCACAAGCAAATTTAGCCCCCTCCCCCCCCCTCCTCTAAAGGGCATTTGACATTGCCTGTCGGTCTCATCTGGGCAGAATCCTAACTCTTTGTACGTGCTGACCTGGCTACCTTAGATCCGATGTCAAATCGCTTGAGTGACGCTATGAACAAGCTTAACGTAGACTCAGCCCGAAACTCCATGGCAAGGCCCGCCAGCACCGCTACGGGCAAGCGTTACTCGGGTCTCGATCCATTGACCATTAACGCTATGTTTCCTGATGCTGCGGCAGCTATAGCCACCGAGAAGGCAAAGTTCACACAACAGACGGGTAATCCCCCTTCTTCGAATCGGAACAGCGCTGTCGGGGATGCTCGCTCGGCGCTCGGCGCGCCCACGATTGCAGGTCCTGCTGAGGGCCATGACCAGAACAGTCAGGCTCCCAGTTCTCCGTGGCATTCGGGGGACCAAAGTACCGCTCGTCCTAAGTCCTCTGCTGGGCAACCTCCGATGGGTCAATTTGTACAACCTCCTCCATCTGCTGGTCTCCGGTCCCCTCGCCCGCAACTCAACAGCAACTCGACCATCCAGAACACAACATTGACGACTTCTGACAAGACTACCGATCTGCCATTGCTGTCTCCTTACAATACGGGAAGCGGCAACTGGGCTTCAATGGTCAACACGCCAATGGTACCGAATTTCAACACCACAAACCCGAATGGTTCAGGTCCTGGGGGCTCGCAAGCGGACATGCTCGCAAATGCCACCGCAATGAAGCTTGCCGCACTCTCGACCGTCAACAATCGCTTCGCTCTCGACGACGTACGAAAGTATCGGCGTGCCCGATCGAATGACGCACCGGGTGGCCCCATGTCGGCCGGTCTGTCACCCGGACAACAAGGTGTCAATATACCCGGCACGAATGTTGTGATGGTCAACGAACATGGTCAGGTCCTGAGTAGGGAGCATATGTTGGCACTGCAGGCTCAACAGCTTCAACACGCCCAGCAGCAGAACATCGCCCTCGGTGGTCATCGTTCTCGTCCAAGCTCTCCTGGGTTAGCGATGCAGCAAGCTGGATTCGGCCACATGCCATTCACGTCTCCGCAGAACAACGGCTTTTTGAGCGCTTACGATGGCCAGCCCTCTCTGCTAAACAACGCCATTCCCTCGTTGAATGTCGGGCAATTCGGGGTTGGCGGTCATGAGGGATACCTTTCGGATCATTCTGATATGGTCCGAGGACGTTCCCCTCGAGGACGTCGAGGAAGCTCGAAACCACCCGAGGACCCCACTGACCCTACATTGTTGCAAGATATCCCAAGCTGGCTCAGAAGTCTACGGCTCCACAAGTACACTGATAACCTCAAGGACATGAAGTGGACTGATTTGATTGAGTTGGATGACAAGGCTTTGGAAGATCGAGGCGTGAACGCCCTGGGAGCGCGAAGAAAGATGCTCAAAGTCTTCGAACAAGTCAAGGGCAAGTTGTTGCATGATGCGCCTTCTTCGTGAATCTTCACACTGACTTGGAATACAGATGCTAAAGCCGACGGCAAGCTCTAAGACTGGCTCAGTTGGCTAGTACGGTGTCGCTCGACAGTGGCTAGTCTGCCGAATATCCTCGTACGTGCCCATGCAGAACTTACGCAGGACGTTCACTGTACAGATAATCATAGAGTACCTCATGGTGGCTGGTTCGGAAGGTGTAGAACATGGAAGAGGAGGTTTGACACAGGCAGACAATTTTCCTAGGTACCTTATGCAGGTCACCACCACATTAGAATATTTACCTACCTACCTAGGCAACTGGCTCTTTCTTCCCTTGTAATACGGACAGTGTGTTCTACACGTCTGTGGGTAATTGGCGTTGGCGGCCAATCAGGTCCACCTTGGCCTGTAAGTGGGTACCTCAGGTACACAGTGTACCGGAATTTCGGTACCCTGACACTCTGACGGCATGGATTTCAGCTCGTGCAGATGTGCTTGTCTACTGCCCACGTACATTCCCAACACCTATGGCGACTTGCATATTACATCCAGTATTGCGCACAGCTCTCCTTGAGACTCTAGCACAGGCCTCGATTGGATCTGTGTCACGGTCTGGCAAGGCTTCAACTTTCTTCCTTCTTCCCGCATCATCCAGGTTCAACACCGGTCACTACTCTATCGACATCTTAGTCTTGATTAGATGACTCAACTGGTGTGTCTGACATGGACCTAATCGGACGAGGGCTAGGCCTCGATGATCAGCTCCAGGAAGATGTAATCTCGGACGCTGACTCTGATGAATTAGAGCTCCGGTTGGAGAATGCTCGTTTTGAACAGTCCGTCCAGGCTTTCCTGGCTTCGTATCGAGACCCAGATGAAGATGAACCCTCTTCAAGAACCAAAAGAGGGAAGTCAACGGCTGGACGGCACTCTCGCACCAACCGAAAGGAACTGGAGCCCCGTGCTGATATCAAGCTTCGGTTGGCTGAGGTCAACAGGACCTTCCTCAATGGCGACTATCCTGAGGCAGAGCGAAGAATACATGAGATCATCAGGATAAATGCCGAGACGTACCAGGCATGGATGACATTGGCGACTATTTGCGAGGAGCAGGGTAGAGATTCCGATGCGCTCACTGCCAAGCTGTACGCGTCTCATCTTCGACCGAAAGATGCCAGTGGTTGGCTCAGCTGCGCGGCTCTCGCCCTGGGTATGGCCGGCGACGATGACGACAGTCCAGCACTCAAGACCGCAGGAACATGTTTCGCCTCAGCCGTACTTGCGCAGCCAACAAACATCGAGGCAAGACTTGGCAGGGCCGAGGTGAATCATAGACGTGGTCACTTGACCAAGGCGATTCGCGAATACTCTATCGTCCTAGATCGGTTCCCTCATGATATTTCACTGGTTCGAAAGCTAGCTGAGGCCTGTGAGGCATCTCGGGGTCCAGAGCATGTGCAAAGGGCGGTGGACGCCTACCAAGCTTATTTTGCATACCTACAGCAAAAGCCATGCGATAGCGAGTCAACAATTTTCTGGGGAGATGTCAGTATCTATGCGGAGCTGCTCGCTTGCTTGGGAGATTTTGCACAGGCTGTCGACCAGATAAGCTCCCTGTCGCGTTGGCTACTGTCACGACACGATGATGCTTTTTGGTTGTGTTGGGACAAAGACGATCGAGAATGGGATCATGGAAGCACGAGGCGCGAACAGATTCCCGGTTTCGACACATCTGCATATGAGTTGCACCTTTATGGATCGGGCTTGCCCCTTGAGCTCCGCGCCCGGCTTGCCCTGTATCGACTCAAAATGGGGGACCAAGAAGAGTCAAGTGTAAGTTTTGAGACTACCAGAGCAACGTATTCATTCTTATTGGCGACTAACCTTGAGAAGAGACATCTTCAGTGGCTAGATCCCACAGAAAGCGCAACCGCTTCAGCTGTTGATGACTTCCCAGGCTTGATACGGGATATCGCGGATGCTCTAAACTCATCTGGCGATGCTTTGCGGGCTCTCGACTACTACGAGCTCCTACGAAATTCTGTCTATGGACAAGACCCAGACCTTCTGCTCGATCTTGGTAAATGCCATCTCACCAAAGGTGACACTGGTGCAGCTGAAGACTGTTTTTTACTCACAATACAGGTGGACGATAGCAACATTGATGCTCGCATCGAACTGGCTAAGATTTACGAGGATGCTAGGGAAGATGAGGAAGCACTCATCCTCGTCACAGAAGCTATTGCATTGCAGGGCGCTGAAGAACATGCATATCGTGCTGTTCGCGGCAAAACTGATGCATATTCGGCAGACGCGGACGCAACCACTAAAAACAGAAAGCGGCCGCACGGGCACAACCCAGCTCCAGGTTCAGTTGTGAGACCCCGGTATCGACCTAAAAGATTGGTCGCGCCCGACCAACGACGGCGGGAGGAGCGTGACCGGGCTGACGAGCTCTCGCGACGCCACAAGGAAGTACGTGACCTCAAGAGGGGGATTCAAGAAGGCAACCGAGGGCTCATACCAATATGGATGGCAGCAGCGAAAGACCTTGTGGATGATTTTCGCTCCTTTAGGAAGTTTTATACTTGGGACAAATACGTGAAGTACCTGGGCGCGAGCGAGGGGATTGTCTTCAACGCTCCTATCGAGACGCAGTACGGTACAGGCACATCAGAACTGCACGAGCTGGCCGAGAGATTGTCTCGGAGTGAGTACACGAAAGTTTCCAACATTTTAGGTCTATCGTTGACATATTGAACTAGACGTTGCACCTTCACAGGGGGACGATGGCAGGGTTCATGTGCCATCGGATGATGACGGCCACCGCGGTATACCTTTTGGAGAGTGGCTGGAGCTGTTTCTCGATTTTGCAATAAGCCTGGCGCTCGAGGGACATGGCCACGAAGCCTATCAGGTCTGCGAGGCCGCTCGAGACTCGATTGTCTTCGTGAACTCAAAAGACTTCATGTTTCTCATCCATGTGGCATGGGCCGGTAAGATTGAAACCTGGCCTCACGGCATCTGAACATATGCTAACTTATATGTGAATAGCATGTGCAATTTATCTCGGAGACGAGGAGATGTGCGTTGCTATGGCAAGATTCTTCACAAAAGTACAGCAACTCGACTCGGATTCTTATCGCATGTTTGCCGCTCTTTGTCGATTGTGTCAATCTCCTGCATCGTGGTATAACTCCGGTCCCGTGCAGAAGTATATACTACGGCAGATTCGCTTGATCGATGCTACACAGCTTCGGTCAACTCAACCAGGAACCCAGGTAACGATCCCGGTGGACAATTCAACAGCTCAGGGCCAAACAAGAAATCTCGATGTGTGTTTACTCACGCTCTACGGCCACATTCTGTTCACCTCGACCAGTTATACCTATGCCCTCAGTGAGTTCATGCTGGACTTGTTATTATGACATTTGTTTTCCGTACAGCTGCTGATATATCGACAGACTATTTTTTGCGGGCCCGCTCGCTCGATTCTATGAACCCGATGATAAACCTCAGCGTTGGACTTGGCTACATCCATCATGGCTTAAAGCGGCAGTCGGAAAATCGGCAATACCTTATTATGCAGGGCCTAGCATGTTTGTTCGAATACGCGGGTTGTCGTATGAATGACTCACATGGTCAGAGACGTGAGGCGCTTTTTACAGTGGCACGTTCGTTCCACATGCTCGGTCTCCATCACCTAGCCCATTGCTGGTACCAAAGGGTTATTGACGACCAGAGTATTCATCCAGGAGTATCTCCTGGAGACCGTGATACTGTTACTAATGCAGCCTTTAATCAGTATATCATTCTGATAACTAGCGAGGAGGATGCTAATCTAGAAGCGAGCCTTCTTTATAGACTAGTTCTTTAAATTATAAGAGTACTAGGTTGTTTTAGAATATCTTACCTAAGTAATTTATTTAATTTTTATTATAAGTACTTTATCTATAATATACTTCCCAGGCGAGTAGACTACCTGGGCGAGTAGACTACCCTATAGTAACTTAATATATCGATATATTTAAAATACGATAACTCTACTTATTAATATAGAATCGCTTTCTATTAAAGAGTATATTTATAGTATAATTTAAGTTTTTAAATAAGCTTTAAATTAAAATACTAAATTAATTATAAAGATCTTTAATATTCTATAAATAATATTTAATTAATAATTTAATAAGATTTATACTTAATATAATATAATATTTAATTCTTAATAATTAAACGACTTGTTGGACCTCACTTGGGGGCACATGCAGAGTGTTGTAAAATGGTTACTATGTAAGGCTATTGGTGTCTGGGCCGACACCCTTATCTAGGAGTGGAGTGCTCCAGCCCCAGGGCTCTGGCGGAGTACAAGTCCGCCAGGAGTCCAGGGCTGGAGCGCCTTCCACGGGTGCCCCCAACACTGCCGCCTCCTCAAGAGACCGTGTCCGCACGGTTGTTCCGTCCGCCGCAATCACAAAAGAAACGCCCAAACTCCCAATTGTGCAGGTATCGTCACCTCCTCATGTCCTTCCAATCCTGTCGGCGTTCGCATCGTTCTCGTCGCATGGAATCGTGTCCGCGCGGAATCACAACAAACGCCCAAACTCCCAGACTCCCAATTGTGCAGGCCTCGTCACTTCCTTGTGTCCTTCCAATCCCCATTCTCGCCGTAGACTCCATTCTCGCAGACTTAAAGTCTGTTGCGACGACGCTTGGTCACCAGCTGCCTAGTGGCTTGTCCGGCGCGCTTCTTTCCCTTTGGCTGTGGCGACTCCTCCTGCAGTTCGTCCTCGCTGAGTACGTCCAATTCGGCGGGCGGCACGTTTGGCGAAGAGCTTGTGGTCACCTGCCTGACGGCTGTCGTTGCAGAGGATGGTCCCGTCACAGTCGGTGACGAACTTGCCACGGCTGTGGTCTTGGCCTTAGTGCCAGAGCTCAGATTCGCTGTGTTCGGCGACGAGCTGTTCGCGGCAGCGGTTTGTTGGAACGTGGGTCGCGGCGGAGCACCTGTCAGGGATGAACGTCTCGAGTGTGGCACGACGACGTGGCCCGGCCGGAATCCCTTCGTCGGCGTCTGTTGCGTGGTTCCGACAGGGGAGCCCATCTCCACCAATGGGGAAGATCTGGCCAGTGGCGACGATGTCGGCAGTCTGCGCTCCATGACGGAGGTCATTGAAATCAGTGACTGTGTTCCGCTGTTTACTCCGCCTACCACGTCTTCCAGGGTCTTGATCCTGTCGTGAATTGATTTGGTCAGAGTGTGTAGGTCGTGTCGCTGAGAGGCCTCATCGCGGAGTTGGGCCATCTCCGCCGCCATGTTATCCATCCGTGTCAGGATTTCTTTCTGCATAGCGATGAGGTCGTTCTGCTTTCCCGACACATCGAGCAGTAGTGCCGTATTTGTCTCGTCAGGTTTACCAGGTTCGGAATCCATGTACTCAGATGTCCGATCTTCCTCACGGGTTTGGTTTTGTCCGGGTCCTTCCATGTAGGCGACCACTCTTTCAATAGTCCTAGTGACTATAGTCTGCCATCCTTTGGGAATGTTGCTTGGCACTCTTGGGTATCGCTGTCCGTCGAGCAGGTCGAGCTCGTCGTCGTCGGGCAGGTCGTTCTCTCCCATCTCGGCGTGTATCGACTGCAGAACGTTGGATAGCACAATCACTGGGAAGGGAAGCGAGACGTCGTCCCACTCCAGTCGATGGCAAGCTCCGCCATATCTCTGCCAGCGGACAATCGGCACGAATTTACCTTTCTCCGCCAGGTCTGCCGATGTGAACAAGTCCGCGAGATAGCTGCCGCCGTCCTTCCAGATATCCTTCAAGAAGAACAGCCATTCACGGCGGATGTTGGCGAGTTCACCGGATTCGAGCAGACTCCAGGCGGAGGCTTTAACGTTGAGAATGATATTGTGCGCCGCCCACAGTTGTGCGAGTCGCTCTCCGCCGTATTGGTCGTCAAGGAACGGGGTCTCCGTTGTCTCCGCCTGACGACGCAGGTTGTAGATGGCACTACGGACCACGCCGTGTAGGAGCGGATGTCCTGTCATGGGGCAGGAGAGCACCCATCTAACAGCCATAGCCCAGAACTGAGTACCGCCCGGGTTCGTTGGGTGTGGGCGGACGTGCTTTGCCAGGCGCAGGACGTGTTTGTCTCCGCGCTGGTCTTCAAGAAGTAGGGTTTGCCAAAACCTGAGTCGGATGCTACGCTCGTATCCGCCGGACTTGGTCCAGAACACGTCATATTCCTTACCGGGTACGAGGTTAATGAGAGCGTCAGCTGCCATGTATGCCGACAGCGGCATAACACCCTGTTCCTTGTCGCAGATCTGCGAGAAGACGGAGTAGTCGCTGATGTACTTCTTTCCGGGGGTAGCGCGGATGCGTTCCACTGCTCTGTCAATTCGATTTCCCACATTGCATTCGTATCGTTGCAGCTCCGGCCGGACCCATGGCCTACTGTCGTCTCCGGGAAACCGAGTATCTGGGTGCTCGGGTTCCAGCTCCACGGGGTTTCCCATATCCGATTCTGGTGCATTAAAGATCCAGGGCTCTGGCAGACTTGCAAGTCCTTTGGCCTTGGCCTTGGTCTTCTTTGCTCTGGGCGCGGGAATCTCTTCCACGTCCGCTTCTTCTTCACTCAGAGGGTCGCCGCCAGACTGTGTGTTGTCTCGGGTCTGGGCGGAGTGTACAGTGTTCTCGATAGCAATGTTCCCGGCTGCAGTGTTCTCGGTGAAGGGGTCTTCGGTGTCGTCGGCAGCCTGGCCGCCGGGAGACGTGCGAATATCATTCATCACCGATTCCATTCGCTGGAGGTGTGTTGCCACGGCGTTCGTGTGCTCGATCTCGTCTCTGGCCTGCTGCTGTGCCTGCAGGGCGTACTCCCTCATCTGCTCGGCATTAAGCGTCATCCTTGCCGGTGACTTGGGTCTCGACATAGTTGGTTATGGCGTAGGGCGATAGTGTAGTAGTCAAGTAGGAAGGTATAGGGAATGACTCGGCATCTCCGAGTTGTGGGTGTCGAGGAGTTTGAATGCCGTTCGAATCAGAGCGGAAGGTTGGTGGCGAAGTAGGGTATATTATAGTGCGGAAGGTTGGTGATATCTGGAGTGCGGTGTGCCAGTGGCATATCCGCATCCCGTTCCTTCCGTTATTATTTCGATCTTCCATTCACCTGTCTCGCCAAAACTGCTGCCTAGTCCTCGTGACTAGATCCTTATCTCGATGTTTGTTGCTGGAATACGGTCGACGACCGTTGTCTCTGGTTCGTGGTGGCCAGGACGGCGGATTTCCGTATCCATTATAGGGTGTCTAGCTTCATACTCATATAATAGGTCGTTTGCTGTATACAGCATATCTGCACGGTATATCCACTCGTTGAATTCGTTTCCCCAGCCTTTCCATTTGACGAGATACTGTAGGCGTGGTCGTCCCGATAGCCATCTCGTGCGTCTGTCTAGCAGTCTATCGACTTCGTACTGTTCTCCGTCGGCCTCCGACAAGACTGGTTTAGTGGCGGATGACTGCCGTGCCCAGGGGTCATCGTCGGGGGGGCACGGGATCAGCTGCTTGACCGATATCACATCATGTACTCTCCACTTGGCTGGAAACTTCAGTTTGTATGCCAGAGGGCCTTTCTTCTCCAGGATCGTGAAAGGTCCAACGCGCTGTTGACTCCATTTCCTCGGCGGTCTGCCAGGAAGTTTGTATCCTTCATTCAGTTTAAGGAACACTTTCTCGCCGATCTCAAAGTGTATAGGCCGGTGTCTCTTGTCGTAGGCTTTCTTTGCTTCAGCTTGTGCGTAAGCTATGGACGCTTGTGCCTCTTGTTGGTGTAGTTTCCTCATTGTCTCGACAGTTTCCGCATCCTGTGTCCCGGCAGTCAGCCAGTCCGCGGCCAGAGCAGGCTTGAATCCCAGCAGGAGTTCATTCGGGGCGCAGTTGATCGCACGTTGTTTGGTATTATTGAGGGCAAACTGAAGTGGGATCAGAATATCTGTCCAGGGTACGTCGGACGACGATATATGGTATCTCAGGGCTATCTCGACTGTCTGGTTTTTTCGCTCCGACGAACCGTTGCGTATGAGGGGAGACGTTTCTCGCTCGCGGCCCCCAGCCCTTAGGTTTCGGCGGGGTGCAATTATTGGCGAAGACGTGTTCCATGAGTAGTCGTCTAGAGTCGAATTGTTCCTCACATTTACGGCAGCGTTGTGGCCTCCGCTCTCGCCGTGGGGACTTCTCATGCCGTGGTTCACTGGTCGGCGCGGGGAGGTACGAGGAAGTAGTGGTATTACGGTCAGTGTGGGAGTCTAGCATGTCCTGTTCATCCTCCTTCGTCAAAAAAACCTCCTCCGCTATCTCATAACCATCCTGCTGGAGGTCCTGTTCGTTCTCTCGAGAGTCTTGGTCTGTCAGGCAGACATACACATGGTTAGCCCGACCGCCGTTGTATCTGGACCACCGTCGGTATGGTCTGCGGCTATCCGCGTGCTGTCCTCCAAAGGTACGGCCGCCGCGCATGAAGGTGATCTCTCCGCGGAATGAACCTCTGACGGTGCCGCCTCCTCGAGGGAGGTCGTATCTGCCACCGTTGTCATACCGGTTACCGTACTCACGTCGGCCGCCTTGATTATTGCGAGTATCATATCCGCCAACATTGCGGGGGTTGTATCCTCTATCATTCACGTTTCTGTCGCTGTTCTGGTTATCGTACCCAGTTCTGTTCTGCCGTCCGCGGCGAGGGTTAACTTCTCTGCGACGATCAGTGTCGAGACCATCATCCTTCTGTTGTCGGTCTGGGCGATA